TTGGATACTCTTAAACATGGTAATGAGTTTCCACAAGTGTCAGACACCCGACTGATCAAAATAACCTGCAGACTCCAGGTTGCTGATTAGATGGCCTTTGCTGACAAACCATTGCAATCTTACCTTGAGAATAAAACCAGAGTGGAAAAGGATTGGCTCAGGAGGCTCAAAGATCTGATATGACTGAAATGGTCACACACTGTACTTTGTAGCACAAATATGACAAGCGGCTTCATTTACCTTCAGTGGGCCACTCCTGAAGAGGAAACTGCCTAAATGATATTAGAAAAAGATGAATCAGGTTTGATTGATGAGCTGTGGTTTGTTTTATCAGTGTCCAGGTTGATATTAATATTGATGTTTGCTGGAAGTTGAAAGGAGAATTAGGAAAAGCATTTGCCAAACTCCCCAATACCATGAAGTAGAAACAATCCTCACTCAGGCTCAGGTCTCTTATCCACTCAAAATATTAGTGGCAGAAAAGAGCAGAACAGACATGATCCTAATTGTGGATATCTGGTAATGCATATACTGTATTGGGAAGAATGAATGAAGAAGGTAGGAATAGAATTGGCAAATTTGATAGAGAATTCCTTGGTTTATCAATGCCAACATCACAGCTTTATTTGGTGATTTTCCAAATGAATTTGCTTAGCTTAGCTATAATGTATACACATTAGAAAATGCATGTCTGGGCAAGGTAGTAATTCACTTTGAGAAAACTGGTCAAGAGAAGTGTCAGCTCATCAATATTCTGTCCTTCAGATGAGATGTTAAGCTGAGGTCTTGTTTAGCTGTTCAGGTGGGTGTTAAAAATCCCATGGCACTAATTGAAAAGAGAAGGGAGTTTCCCATGGTGTCCTGGCTAACAATTCCCAAATAAAATTGGTCACTCATTTCATAGCTGTTTGTGGGACATTATTGTATGCAACTGGCTGCTGCATTTTGCCCACAAAATACAAAATTTCGCCTACAAAATTTCGCCCACTGCACTATGAAACACTTTGAGACTTCTCGATGGTGCTATCTCAAATGCAAGGATTATTATTACTTCGTGGACAGATGTACAATGGAGTATATAAACTGGCATCTGTTTCTGGCCCATCCCTAAAACACATACATAATTGTGATTTGGTGGTTTTGGGCAGAGTTAGTAACATGTCTCTTGCACATGTATAATTCTGGGTAACACAGAGGGTTGGGATTTTATTGTTACTGTCTTTTACATTTTGAGTAAGAATTAATAACTAGTATAAAATTGGGTCCTACTGTTAACCAAGGTTATTTTACAGTTACAATAATATGCAATATACTCCAGTCCAGCTGCTGTCATAAACAACTCTCATAAATGTCCTAATCTTTTCTTCACTTGAGAGTTCTGTAAATTATTGGCTTGCCTCAAGATTATGTTACTCATCAAACATGCTCTTAAAATCCCAGCTAAAGGGATTGCAAACAATTCACCCAGGTCCTTTGAACAGCATTAGGATTTGCAATCAAAATGCGTGTTTATTTGATATGGGGATAGATTGTTTGTTAACTGAATACTTAAATATTTTTTCTTTATTGAATCACACATGCAGAAACCCATCACCATGCTTAAGAGTATTCAGACCAGAGATCCCCATGGAAATTTTCCTCATCTGAAATGGAATGTGTTCTCTCCCTGGAGGCACACACCCTGATTATTTAAATCTGGAGAGTTTTAAGTGTAGGTTGGCAAAAGCCAAGGATTGGAGATCCCAGGGTGTACACCAGGGTACTTCTGGAGTATAACAAGCTAAATGCCACACAGTTTACCATTGACAGCACTATCTGGTGAGATTCCCGCTGCTTGTCCAGGGAAGACCACCCAACATGTTAGGGTTTGGGCTCGCAGAACTAACAGAAGCCAAGTGGGAAGAATCCCAGTGACTGGTCTGCCCCTCCAACTTACTCCACACGCCTCTGTTTAACTAGCAATAAATAGGAACCTGGTTGTTAGTCAATTGGCAGATTGCTTTTCCAGAGATCGTAATCCCTTTTTAAAAAATGTGGTCATTCAATTCACGACTGTTTGTGGGGACACTGCTGTGCGCAATTGGCTGCTGCGTTTCGCCCACAAAATATACAGTCAATTCACTTTACAGTATATTCTGTGAAGCACTTTGAGACGTCTCAAAGACTTGATAAGGCGCTATATCAAATGCAAGGATTATTATTATTAAGTCCTGCCAATAAGCAAAACTTACTAGTCTGCCATCAGCAATGTCCTGGAGTACTACGGCACCATTTGTCTCAGAAACTGGACTACCGAGAATACCACAGAGGGCTTTTGGGGTTTTAAGCAGAAAGTGGTAAAATGTTACACAGGGATAATTGGCTTGTGGGGGCCACGAGATCAAAGTGAGTTTTGATGATTCTTCAACGTCAGCTCTTCTTATCATTTTGAAGCAGAATTCACCAAGTGTTGGATTCTTCACTCACTCATAGGGAACAACACCAACACATTACGTTTGTATAGTACCTTTCGGGTTGGGAGAACATGAGGATAGTTTTATCCCACTGGTGTTGTTGCAAAAGTAATCCTTTCAGATTCCGACATTACGTTACCAATCATGTCATCTCAGAGCCAGCTCAGCTACAAGAAGACACCTTTATCTCCCCACCAAGGAAGGATTTTCTTAACATGTGTAGTAATCATCAGTTCTGACTGTTCATTGCTGCAAAATACCTTTATCCATTTAAATTACAAGTGAACTTTATATGAAATTTTAGCTTCCAGTTAGTGTTTTCCTGGGGTGGGGGTGGGGGGGTGAAATAGCATAGCATTCTTTCAGGCTGTTAATTTATTTTCATATAATTTATTATTATAATTTTGTTTCTGATTTCAGATTGGATTCATAGTACCAGATTTCAAGAAGATGTTCAGCAAATTTTCCTATATTTCTTGCAAAATGAATGTTTACACTATTGAACAGGAAATAATTTTACAGCAGACTAAAAATTTGCAAAGAAACAAATTTTGACCTATGATTTCAGTGATTTCGATCGACACAGTGTGTGATGAGGTTGGGTTACTTTAACCCCAAAAATGAAACCACCATCTGGTCAATTCTACAAACCATTTAGCAAGACCTCCTTTGCAGCACACAATTACTTACCCAGCCATGGTTCTTCACAGAATCAAATTGCTTGATGCAAAGGACAGTATAAATATAAGAATAGGAGAGACAGAACATCAGAACTGTTGCAGGATTGAATGCCCTGAATATATCAAGCTTTCTTTTCAATGTGCATGTTATCATCATTGAGAGAATCTGACAAACAAATACTGTACTCGACATGGAGAAAGGCAAGTAAATGTGCTCTTTTTAAAATGAACAGGATTTTCTTTGATGCGAAAGCCAGCTCGGGCTTTGAAAAGATTTCAAACAGGAGAGGAGTGATGAGCTGTAACCAATTATAGGAACAGACCAGACTTAGAAGCTAAAACTTTATCAAACCAATTTACAGTTTCCTTTTGAGGTGTATTGTAAAGTCATTAAGCAGCTGGGTAAACAGCATCGGGTATGGAGGAGTTGGAAGTGATTTGCCTTTGATGGATTTTTAATCTAAAATATTTCTGATTTGATCAGTAAATATGTCCCGGAATCATCATAGGCAGCTTTTATGGAACAGCTAACGACTTTTTACATCAATCACCATGTGTACCAGGGCTTATAGAGAGTCAGGATGTTATAGATAAATAGAGCAGAATATGTACTGCATATTTTGCATGGTCAGAAAATGCCAAAATCTGATCTGATTGGGTCCAGTGTGCCTCTGCCTACTGTTAAAGGCTTATGATTTTGAGAATTTCTCAAACATTGATATTTTTACACCAGCTTACACCCCACTCCATTACCTGCTGTCCTGCTCAGCTGGCTCTGGCCTCCTGGACGACCACTGTCCCCTTGCATTTATATAATGCCCTTCACCCAGGATAGTGACTTGGAGAACTTAAACTGGTGGAGCTTGCTGCCGAGCTGGAGAATGGGGATGTGCCTTTAGCCACTATGCCCTGATACTATGGAACTCTCTTCCTCAATCCCTCCACCTTGCCTCCTTCTTGTCTTCAGATCACACCTGAAGAACTTACTCTTTGATTGTAACAGTCACATCTCCCCTCTCCCTGGCTCAGGGTGTTCTGAGCTGCTATACTGCGTGAAGAATGTTATATAAATGGTGAAAATTTATGGGTTTCAATACCCTGATGTTCTGTCAACCCTATTTCTAAATCCAGACTGTGGTTTGTATCATGTGTTAAGAGTTTGAGAAGAGCTGTATTTTTGTTATGGTTTGGTTACTTGTGCTGCTCTACAGCTATTTTGTTTTTCCTTAACATTCAGTTCAAGCTGTTTTCCTCCTCTGACGTTATTCTGGCAAGTTTTCAAGTGATAAATAAATCCTTATAATAATGATAATAGTTGCATTTTATAGTAACGTATCTCTTCGAGAATATCTCAAAAGGCACACAGGTACAGTAATTGCTATCAAGTGCAGTGACTCCCTATTTGTAAATTTGACTCTCTTTGTACTACATAATCCTTTATGCTTTATATCTTTGTTCTTTATGCTTTTCTGAAGTTGGCAGCAGTGCAGAAAAGAGCTCATTCAGTCATGTTTGTACAAGTATATCTTGGGACTTTGGGGATCAATTAAGTTTTTTGACACTGTTCCAGCCTCTTGTAACCCAACCAGGCATTGTAGGACTGAGATACTTTCTGTATCAGCAGTTAACGTAATCTGGACTTTCCACAACCTTTTCCTTATTGCCACACCTGCTGTCCTGCTTGCATCTGTATTGGACCACGTTAATCTCCATGGAGATAGTTTCATGTAGAGTAATGAGGAAACATGACCTGGAAAAAACTTGGATTTCATCTGAGAAGCAAGACAGTCAACAAGGGGGCAGGGCTGGCTAGTAACAGATGGATATTGGGAAGCACTTTAACCCTTTATACTCTCCTCGTTTGCAGTGTTGTATGCACACATTCTCAAGTGCATGATTGAAGGCTCAGACATCAATAAATGGGGTGGAAGATGAACAACAAGCCCAAGTTTACAGAGTGGAGTTGGGGAGCAGAACAGTGAGGCCGGAGAAGATCATAAAGGTACAATAATTTCTTAAGACATTTTTGTACAATACTCTTGAGATGAAACTAAATGATGTTCCCAGTTACATCAGGTACTTTAACACAATTGCCAGTGAGCATGCAGCGACAAATAAATAATGAAATGAGTCGTGTGATTATCATTTATTTTCTGTTTCCACAACAACTCTGAATGAAGGAGTCATTTCTCCTAACTTCTTCCAATTACATCACCTCACTTTATGTGAGTGAATTATTAATGACAGTTTCAGGCTCCCCTGCCACACGGCAATAACACAGCTCTACAATGAGCCTGGATGAATGGATTTTATTGTTTGCAATTCCATTCCATAATATTTCACTTCTAAAAGTAATTATAACTTGGATCTTTAATGTAGTCCTTATTAAATTGCGCTGCCTAGAATTTTATAAGTTTCTGCTGTCTGGAATAAATTATTCATTACATAATTTAAAAAAATATATCCTGTTGCTTGTTTTTTTGCCTCCCAGTTCTGGTGCCTCTAACTTTCTAGCAGCAACAGATTTCACTTGTGGTTTTTTTTTAAAAAAATGTAAAGAGGCCATTCCTGCTTCAAGAAGATGGTAAAAGCAAGGTGTTGAATGCTTTATGGAGACAGGCACATTCCCCATTCTACAAGCCCCGCTCTGTGATCTGACACCTGGTATGTGTACAACAGGCCTTTCTATGTTTATGGAGCATAGCTGACATCTTAAGCAATTCCTGACTATTTTTGCTATTCTGACCCTTCTTGAGCCTCCAAGTTGCAGATTGGATCTCAGGCAATCAGTTGAATTGTCCATGCCTGTCCATAGTTGGGTCTTCAATACTTCTGGCGACACACTGCTTTGAGCTTCAATAACCAGTATGCAATAGGTGTCATCCCTGAAGAAAACTCTCATTATTTGGACAGTGAGAAGAATTCTAAATTACAAATTTATGAACCGTATAAGATGGAAACAGAAACGTGGACAAATTACCTGTTCACTATTTGAGCCAACCTGTCTTGAAGCAACTCAACCATGTATGGCAACAGAATGGAGCCTCTTTTGCTAACATTTCTGAGCATTTGCAACCAAAAGTAATGTACACGTCTATTAAAAAAAAGTAATTCATTACCATAGTGTTTATAGGCGTGATATTAATTTCACTTCTCTTTCGCTTTCAAAGAGCAACTGGTCTGAAAACAGATATAAAGTAATCTGGATTATTCCACATGTTATTCGCCAACAGTCCTATCTAGTCCGTATAAATTATAAATTAGTCTCAGTACAACATAAATCCCAAAGCCTCTTGGTGAAAGGTCTATCTGCTAGAGGTGTTCAAATGACATTCTGCCTTTGCTGCTGGAGATGAAAAAAAATCTCTGAAGCTTTTCCAACATGAGTAATAAATAATAGTAATAATAATCCTTGCATTTGGTATAGTTCCCTTCTTGTCGGGAGGACTTCCCAAAGCACTTCACAGGAATTACTGAGGAGTGACTGGGTATTTGTAGGAATATGAGGCAGCCCAATTGCACCGAGTAACATGATATTGGCTCCAAACTTCATCAAATTTGTTAAATCAAACAAACGACCTAAATTGTAATTAGTTAAGAGTGATTTTTCAGAGAAAAAGCTCTTAAGTGCTGCATTTGTGAAGATCTAATTACTCTACATCTGTGTTGGTCACTGGGAGATCACGGCACAATCACATTAGATGATGCTTTTGTGTTGCTTTGTGATGATTCATTTTGAGGGTTAGGAGCAGATTCTTTTAACCATGCATCTTATGCATGTCTGTCGAGTCCTTGAATCAAAATTAGGCTATATTAAATGATAGCTTTCATCTGACATGATTTACCTATAATCTTTGTTTTTTTCAATTTGATTTGATAGATTCCTGTCCATAAAATACAATTTGGAATAAAATGTATTCTGCCTTGATGGCGGTGACTATCTATGGGTCAAATGCTCACAGCTGTGCTGATCTTTTCACAGTAATTCAATGCAATCTATTATACATGTGTTTATGCATTTATTTTGTACACACAATTCACATGCTGAAATATTTAACACCCAATATTTCAGAACAGGGTTTAATGAATGATATGTCATTTAACTGTAGGTTTATAAAGTAGCCTTGCTCAGTCATACAATTAAGTGTTATATTCGTAGGAATATAATTATCATTAAATTCAATATAGCACTTTTTACAACGGGAGGCTATCTTAAAGCACTTCACAGACGTAAAGTGTAGTCACGGTCTATTTTGTGTATACTTTAGATCCTTCAGTGTTTGATAAGGCTGGTACAATCAGACTAAAGTAATGTATATGTTAAGCAAAGTTATCATTGATTTCTGAAGCACTTATACAAGTTACTACAGTTACTTTCTTACATTGCTATTCCAATTATCTGACCAGTTCAATTGCATTACTGTGATAGGGAAATCAAACTGCAATGAGTTAAAATCAGTATATGCAAAGAATGAAAGACTGCAAATACAGTATGTCTGTTCAGATTAATTGAATTTTAAACATTGTTCAGCAGAGAGCCATGAACAAATAGACAGCAAGATGATGGATTAAATATTTTGTTTAACAGTATCTATTGAACTATTTGCTCATGGCTCTCTGACTGGATCCTTTCTCATTTCACTCTATATGGCTTTTTTTCCGCTGCCCCCTCCCCTTTCACAACAGGTGTTGCTATACAAAGCCATAAGCAACAGACAGGATTGAATCCTGATCCATAATAATAATCCTTGCATTTGATATTGTGCCTTATCACATTTTCGGGAGTCTCAAAGCGCTTCACAGAATATACTGTAAATTGAATTGACTGTATATTATGTGGGCGAAACACAGCAGCCAATTGAACACAGCAGCGTCCCACAAACAGACGTGGATTGAATGACCAAAAAGAGAGGGTAGGAGAGCAGCCGGGTCTTGAGGGGTGCCCTGAACAAGGCAAGGAGCGAGGCAAAGGAAATGTGGGATGGAGTTCCAGAGAGGCTAAAGGCCTGACCTCTGATGGTGGGGACATGGAGGCGCATAGGTTGATAAGGGGTTAGCAGGTTGGAGAGGTAGGAGGGGGGCAAGGCCATGGAGGACCTTGAAGGTGAGGATGAAGATTTTGAACTTAATCCTCTTGAGGGATGTGGAGCCGGTCAAGGGTGGATATGATGGGGTTACGGAGCCTGGTGCTGGAGAGGACACAAACTGCGGAGTTGTGGAAGGAAGAGTTGGGAAGCCCGACAAGTCAAGGCATTGGCATAGTCGAGCCTGGATGTACACGAAGGTATGTATGAGGGTTTTGGGAGCCTGTGGGGTGAAGCAGTGGCAGACTCAGGCAATGTTGGGGAGGTGGGTTAAGGCAGAGTGGGTCATGGCACGGATGTGGGGGAGAAAAGATTGTTGAGGTTTGAACAAGACACCTAGGTTCCTGACCTGCTTAGTGAGGTGAAGCGTGCATCTGTGGATGCTGATGCTGCCAGTGCCTGAGGTGCAGAGGCGCTGGCACGAGCCAATCAGGAGAGCCTCGTTCTTGCTGACGTTCAACTGTAGAAAATTTGCTCTCATCCAGGACTTGATGTCTGACAGGCAGTCTGTCAGGACAGCAGTGCTCCTGGAGTCGAGGGTGGAGGTAGAGAGATAGAGTTGGGTATCATCTGCATGCATGTGGAAGTTGACCCCACTTCTGCAGATGGTGTCACCAAGAGGAGAGGACCAAGTACCAAGGGCAGATCCCTGAGGAACACCTCACGAGACAGTGTGGGGGCTAGAGTAGAAACAGTTTGGGTAGACAAAGTGGAGCTGATGTGAGAGATAGGATCTGAACTATTCAAGGACAGAATCTTGAAGGTTAAGCTGAGAGGAGAGGCAGTGGAGGAGGATAGCGTGTCGAAGGCAGCAGAGAGGTCGAGGAGGATAAGGAGACAGAGGGAGCCCTGGTCACGGATGAACAAAATGGCATTTGTCACCTTGACCAGGGGTGCTTCTGTACTGTGGGCAGCACAGAAACCTGATTGGAGGGTTTTGTAAAGGGAGTGGCAGAAGAGGAAGGAGTGAAGCTGGGAAGCAACAACTCTTTCAAGGAACTAGGAAAGGGAGGTTGGAGTGGCAGTTAATGATCAGGGATGGGTCCAGGGGGGTTTTTTTTTAGGATAGAGGTGATGACAGGTGATTTTTTAGGTGGGTGGAAATGATGCCAGTTGATAGGGACAGGTTGACGAGGTCTGAGTAGAGGGACAAAGAGGTGGAGCTGGGAGATAAGGAGAGGGGTAGGGATGAGGTTGAGGGAACAGGTGGTGAGCTTCAAAGCAGCCCAAGATCTTAGTCTATCTGAAGGGTTCTATGCAAGTGTAAGTTGTCGCTCTATTATATGCTTTGGACCAATACGTTTCTAAGAATTCAAAAAAGATCAACTTGATTTTGTGGTGCTATCACAGAAAATCAATCTCTTTATATGTTAAATCACTGTCAGTGAGATGAACATCAAAATGAACCCAGAAGAAGTAATTTACTTCAAATATTTATCATCTGTGAAAACCACTTAAAAATGTCTTTTAATAAATATTTGTTTGGAGTTAAACCAAGTGAAGAGTATAAAGCTTTATCCAATTAACCATTATAATACACATTAGCTTGTGGTATGTATTTTATTATTGAGACAAAAGATGGGATCAAATTTATTGTTAAGAACAGCTACAAGTTGAACAGCATATATGATTCGATGCCCTTGAGGTTCACAGATATTCAGATACATTTTGCAAGCAGGAGGCTGCCAGGAGTTTGCTTGGGAACACTTCTATTATAAACGCAATTGCTCCTTCCAGAATCAGTTATTTCAGTGAGAAGACAGTGTTTATTTGCCACTTTGGAAGCATTATGTTATCCATGCAGGCCGTTTAAATCATACTTCGCTTATGAAAGCTATTCAGATACAGCGCATTACATTTTTGTACCTTAACGTTAACCTGAGTACTTTTGTGGTAAGTTGTAATAATAATAATCCTT